GCATTAAACAGTACCCTGTTTAATGCTGGATGACAATGTTCATCTTGGTATCTGTTGGCAGGCTGGATGAATTCACAGCTGATCATTCAAAACATTTCCATTTCAGTAAAGTTACAAGTTTGTCATTGCAGTGTGATTCACACTCATAGGTAAGGGGTTTTTTGGTTTGGTTTGGTTTTTGGTGCCTCAGAGTCAGTTTTTGACTTCCGGTGACTACCTGAACTAGTCTTTGCAGTTTTCTTGGTACAGTTTTTCAGAAGTGGTTTGCCCTTGCCTTCTCCCTAGGGCTGGGAGAGAGTGACTGGCCCAATGTCACCCAGCTGACTTTGTGCCTAAGACAGGACTAGAACTCACGGTCTCCCGGTTTCTAGCCTGATGCCTTTATCCACTACAACAAACCGCTCTCTCTAGGTAAGTACTGTGGCTGACATTATCCAGAGAAGGATCTGGTGCTCATAATGTGGCCAAAGACAAGACTATTCCAAAGCTGAAATCCCTTTGAGAGCTGAGATCCAAGTTGAAGGCCTGGCCTCAAGTAACTACTCTGCGTCATTCTTCTATGGGGATCCTGCATAGAAAAGCTACAGATGTGGCTCTTATTCATGCCAAGTAACCATAGATCCAGAGAAAGCTAGTTCTTAATAAAATTGATGACTGCAACTATCATTTGGAAATGATGTGGAAGGCTTCCAAAAACCTAGGCAAACCTCATCTATTCTAGCTATAAGGAAGCCCAGGATCAAATCCTCCCAGCTATGAAGCATGTGAGGTCTGGGTGATAAACTGCCAATGAAGAATAGATAGCAAGTTTGGATGTTTCAGGGATAATCTCAATGAATCAGACACAATACAGCAAACCACATTATCAAGGCCATCATGAGATTATACAGTGAGCCAAAATCCTACAAATCCAAACGGATTTGTAGGGCCTGGTCAGCAGGGAAAAGAGAGATATAGGAAACATCTGTTTCATGAGAACAGGAAGGCATTGCCTAAAGATTGACAAAATACTCTATACCTGTTGCACACATGGAGGCATTGACAACTGTCCTGAGATGCAAGGAGATCGACCTTGGGCTTTGTAATGGTATGTGGGAATGAACTTGAGAGATGAGAGGAAGAGCCACAGATAAGGCAATGGACAGATAAGAGCTAGTACCCCTGGGTGTGCTTCTTGCCTGGACTGCCTCACAAGGCTACCGGCTTGCCAAGTAGGATTTGGTGAGAGCAACTGCTATGTCATGCAATTTCCATTTATGCGTGGTTGGCCATGATACTGTTATCACTCAACATATGGACTGCAACCATAAAAATAAAACTGAGTACCCATTATTGCCAAATCTGCAACCTAAGATGGAGAGATAGAGTGGACTTGGTACCTCCTTCTTTGATATACCAGACCACTGAAGCATTGTTTGATAAATCTGAACTGTTTGGCTTTAGATAGCTCTGGAAGACCCAAAGCTTCCAAAATGCCAATAGCTCCAGTTTGTTGAGAGGGCACAATGCTTCTAATACAAATTCATTTACAGATGTGAAGAAATCAAAGGTGCAACCCAGAAATATTGATGGAGAACATCTGCATAGGGAAAGGGATAACAAAAGTAACCCCTTCAGTGATGTTCCTTATAGCCAGCCATCAGTGGAGGAACAC